TTATCTTTAATTCATTTATCTCTCTATTTATAGTGTTCTCTGTTTCACTTTGGTGTTTATTTAGGGCTCCTATGAGTTCATTTATTTGTTTCTGTGTCTTCTCATATTCTTTATTTTTGGTGTCTTGAAATTTCTTGACTGCATCTTGTATGTTTGGTTAACCATGCCTAGTAACATCTCCATGAAATTCTCAGTGATTACTTGCAGGATTTTTTCTTTCAGGGTGTTCTTGTGGATATCATTGGATTCCTTGGCATCATTTATATTTGTTTTGTTGAAGTCCAGAACTGAATATCCGTTTTCTTCATTTCCCTCTGACTCCTGTATTAAATTATTTTTTGGGGGAGAATGGTTTCCATCCTTTTTCTTCTTCCCATTGCTCCACTTGGTACTGTGCAACTGTGTTCTTGATAGTCTAATTGGTGGTTTCAGTCATCCATTTTCTTTCCCTTGGTTTAATTTTGTTTTGTGGCTGTATTGGGTTTTTTAGCTAAGTGTTTGTGTGCTATTTCTGTCCCTGGTCTGGGTGTAATTTAGTATGAACTAATTCACAATAATAAAACTAACAACAAGAAAACCCAAAGCAATCAACAGGGGGAGATGAACAAACAAGAAACAAAACAAACAAACAAACTGCAGGTTCAGGAACAATAGAATTTCAGTCTTAGTTTAAGTTCTGGTGTTACTCCTCCAGCATCCAGTCCTGGTGCTGGTATTTAAGCAGAAGCTCTGTCATAGTCTCGCCAGGTGGTTGGGTACTGTTTTTTTTTTTTTCTTCTGTTGTTCAGTAGCAGCTGTTTGGTCAGCTCTTCCGTCAGTGAGGTATGGCAGTTTAAGTTTCAGTGTTCTCCTCAGGTTCCAGAATCAGCTTTGTAGCCCACTAGCTGTCCTGCTTTGGAGTTGGCTTTTTGCTGTGCTTGTTTAAGGGGGTCTTGTTTCTTGGCCTCGCTCCCTTTCTCTGGGGAAGGTCAGTGATCTGTCAGCTGGCCCTCTGTGTGCTGTGATGGTTCACTGTTTGTTTTTCAACTTTGCGGAGCTGTTTGACTTTGGGTTTTGCTCACTGGCTTAAGAGATGAGCTTTGTGGTCTGCTACCTGCCCTACTTCAGGCAGTGGCTGGCCTTACTGTCTGTCTAGCCATTTGTTTACTGATCATTAGCATGGAGATTAACTCCTTGACCCTCTCCCCTTCTCCAGTGTGCTTTCATTGTTTCCATCCCCTCTGCTGTGTGCTAGTTTTCAGTTCATTGTTTATTGTTCAGTTTTGTTTTGCAGGGGGGTCAGTCTGCCCAGGGGGCTATGCTGGTTTATCCCAAGGGTGGCTGGGGGAATACGTGTGACACTTGGCGCTCACATGTTTGGTGTGCTGAATGCCTCCCAAGCAGGTTTGGAGCCAGCATCTGGAGGTGCAGCAGCTCTCCTGTTTTCTCAGTGTAACATGGCATGGAGAAGCTTTCTATGGGCTAGGGGCTCAGGGTGTTGAAGTTTTGATTCTTCTTGGTGCTTTATTTCTGCCAAGTGTGGCTCCAGCACCTCAGCACAGTTTTTGATTCTCGGAGCTCATGCTGTCTGCTTCTGTACCCTAGTCACCATCTTGGATCCTCCTGGACTAACTTCTTATCTTCATTTGTAAAGTATCTGTTTAATTTTTCATTTGGCTGCTGTCTTTTTCTCTTGATTTGGAGTTTTTTTTTAATACATATCCTAGGTACTAGTAGACTTCTGTTGGATTAATATATTACAAATATCTTCTCTCATTCTTTGGATTATCTTTCCACTTTCTTAATACTATCACTTGATTAGAAGTTCTTACTTTTATCTGCTTTATAACTTTTTCTCTTTATTATTAATATTTTTTGAGTTAGGTTTAAGGACATCTTTGCCTGTCCTGTGGCCAACAGGATGTTCCATATTTTCTTTTCTACCTTTGTTTTATTTTTCACCCTTAGATATGTAATCTATCTGGGACTGATTTTTTTTTAATGGTTGGTGTAAGGGTCTACATATAGTTTTCTTCCATGTAAATATCTACCTGACCCAACTCTCCCATTTCTAAAATGACATAATATTGTTGAGTATCAGTATGTATCAATGACAATCTTTGCCTCTGTTCCTATTGTTGAATTTGATTTGAATAGGTGAAATTCTACATTTGATATTATATAATGATTTAAGTTTTTCTTCAAACTGAAAAAGAATCTTTAAGAATGAAAGTGGTCCTGGTTTTTTGCATTGTGTTAGTCCAAATACAGACTTAGTTGCCATATCAAAATTGAAATAAAACAGTGGGTTAAACAACATAGAACCTGGCCTCTCATCACACAATTCAGGAGCATCATTCCAGGGCTGATATAGTGGCTGTATAATATCACAAACTCAAGTCCTTCCTTTTATTTTCTCTGTATCACTCAACACTTGGTTTCTAACTCATTGTCTAAGATGATTGCTTCTCTCTTTGTTACCTCATCCTTATTTCCAAGCAACATTTAACAGCAAGAATAAGACACTGCATAACTCCATGCTCTTCGTACTAATAGTAACCTAGAAATTGAACATACCAATGATATTTTTATCCTGTCGTCCAAAATTTGGACATAGCCACATTCAATTGCAAAGGATGTTGAGAAGTGCTATTTTTAGCCATGTGGCCATATCTGAGCAGATATTCGGGAATTTATTACTAAAGGAAAAAGGAGTAAATAGTTATTGATGGATAGTTAGAGTTTGTGTCATAATACTCTCATCTACCATTCTAGGTTTCCCTCAATGTCCTTAATCTGATCCAGATTAAACCTGCATATTGGTAGCCTAAATGTAGACCTCTATTTGGATGGTATTCATTACTTGGCCCTCTTTACAAAAGAGACCATTTTTTTTTTGGTGGTGCTGGAGTTTGAACTCAGGGGCTCTTTACCATTTGAGCCACCCCACCCACCCTTGGCCCTCTTTATAAGAAGCTTGGTGATCCCTTAGCAGCCTAGAAAATTTTCCTGAGCCAGATAGTTGAAGTCATGTCTGTGTGAGATCTGTTTATCAGACTGTATGATTAGGAAAGGTGGTGATAATAACTTTTGTAAGTAAGACAGAGTTGGACTATATCTCCATAGTCACCCAACAAGATTGTGGAAGAGTTCAAATTTGAATCCAGAGTCTGTTTTTCTGTCAGATGCTCTTCCCACCACATTATGTTCCCAGTGACAACTATCACTGTAGATTTGTATTTTTGTATTAATTATTCAGTTTCACATATTCATTGAGGATCTAACATAAATCCAGAATTGTGGGAGGTACTAGAAGACACAATCTATAGATGGAATAATAAGCACTTTTTACATGAATGATTAGAAAATAAAAGGTTTCATTTATTATATAATATGGAGTCAGCTCCCAAACACATATGTACTGTACAACTTTTGTCCCATAGTCAGAGGGATGGGGCTGATGGTAATGAATATGTGTCATTCATTCTTAAGAAACCAATTTGTATCTTCCAAATCTAAATGTCAATACCACTATTTTATATATAGAAGACATTTATGTTCAGTCACAAAATAAATCAAGAAGAGAATTATCTTAGGATCTGGAATTCCTTCAGTTTTAAGTCTAGTGTTCATTTTTTTCCCTTCTGAACTTAAGTAGCTAAAACCTTAGGGTTAGTTTTCAGTTGATGCACAATAATTGTATATACTTATGAGTTATAGTATGATAAGTCAGTATGTGTACAATGTGTAATGATGAAATCAAAGTAATGAGCATTTCCCCATCTTTAAAGACTTATTATGTCTTTATGTTAGGAAACTTTAAATTCTTCTAGTTCTCTATAAGACATATAATAAATTGTTGTGAAATATAGTTATGTGTTATGTGTTATGGAACATTAGAACTTGTTGTACCTATGTAACTGCATTTTACCTAATCTCCCTCAATCCTCTTCCCAGCCTTTAGTAAGTACTATACTCTACTTTTTTAGCTTCCACATTTGAGTGAGAGATGCAATATTCATCTTTTGGTGTCTGGCTTATTTTATATAACATAACACCCATTAGTTCCATCCATATATTTGCAAGTGACTAGATTGCATTCTTTTTATGACTAAATAATATTCCATGGCATATATACATACACACATATATCTCACATTTTCTGTATTCATTGAACCTTCATTAATTCCAAAAATACTTAGTTTATAAGAAATAGTAAGAATGTTGTTCAACATTCCTTTGATTGTTTTCTCAAGTATAAATCTGGCTGGCCACCCATGGCTCACACCTATAATCCTAGTTACTCAGGAGGTACATACCAGGAGGCCAGCCCAGCAAATAGTTCCTGAAACCCTGTCTCAAAAAGCCCTTCAAAAAAAAGGGCTTGTGGAGTGGATCAAGGTATAGGCCTTGAGTTCAAAACCCAGCAATGCAAAAAAAAAATCTGATCAATAATTCCACTTTTCAGTGAGTACTGATTGCCCTCAAGATTCATTCCAAACTCTTTAGTCTGGCATGCCAGACTTTTTATAATCATGCTGTTTACCTCTTCCATCCCATCCCTTACCTCCTCACCCAGTCACCCTACACATACCATACCACACTACAGCCGGACTATGTTAGTTACTACTCCCCAAATGCACCAAATGATCTTTCACCCCTGTGCCTCCACATGGGCTCTTTCTTTTCCACTCTTTACCTAACCATCACCAGCCATCTCCTACTCATTCCTTAGGTCCCGGCTAAGACATCAGCTCCTCCAGGAAGTCTTTCTGAACACCCCTGGCTGGATTGGATGCTCCTTTGCTTGTCAGGGCCTCTGTCAGCTGATGCTCTCACTGGCCTATTCTCCTATAAATCTCTTCTACAAGTTCAAGAGTTCCCAGATACCATGTAAACAAGCAGGGACTATGTTTTCTCAGCTGTACTCTGGGAGCTTAGCTCAGTAAATTTGTTGGGGGTGAATGACTAGATGAATGCACAATGAGTCACTTGTTTGTTGCTTTCTTATATTTTCTCAGAACTACAACCAGCCCCCTGTGATGGCCTTAGCCGTACCCATTGCTGTAAAATTCCTCCACAGAGGCAACAAGGACCTGTGCAAGAATATGTCTAACTACCTGTCTCTGGCTTCGATCACCAAAGCAGATCTTTTGGCTGACCACACAGAAGTCATAGTGAAGAGCATCCTCCAAGGTACAGTGCAAAGGCTGAGCTCAGAACGTGTTTTAGGAGCTGTAAGACATTTTCATGAAGCATTTGTGGCTGTGCAGAGTGAGACATAGAGCATGTTAGATCTGCTTTGCCACAAGGTGACTTGTGAACATACATAAAGTCCCTGGGCTGGCTGAGTCTGTGCCTCTTCCTACCTGGCAGATGAATCACTTGGACTCACTAAAAAGTTGTAAGCTTCCTTCCAACTTTCTGAGTTGTAAGCTTTCTTCCAAATTTCTGAATTTGGAGAGCTCTGTTCCCCTTGACTCTGGTTGTCTTGTGCTGTGGAGAAGTTGTCTCTGTGACTGAGTGAAACAGGTCCCACTGCTGTCTGTGGTAGATGAAAACCTCTTTTTCCTTCAGTTTCCCAAAATAGGATATGTCATTTTTTTTTTTTAGAGAAAAATACACAGAAAATGTGTAAGGACTTCTCAAATGTGAGCATGACTTGGGACTAATTTACTACTGCAAAAGGAATCAAACCAGGACACCTCTGTTAGTTGTTTCGACATTTGAATGAGAGAAAGTCAAATTAGTCCACACGTTCACCTTGTCTTTTCTTTACCATTTGGTTTCAGATCTATCGGAAACCATGTTTTTTGAATCTGTGGTCAGAAACAATATATTCATCCAAATGTCCCCAGTCATTAATAAAAATGCATGAGGTCCATGCGTATCTCAGCCCATATGTTACTGACACAATCTGCCTCCCATGCTCAGGTTGAACATAAACCCTGTGAAGTGATCCTAGTGCCAGAGTGTCCCTACATGTGCTCTCCAGGCCTGTCCATAAGCCCACACTCTTCTTCTGCCCACAATTACTGGCACAGTATGCTGTGATGACATCTTTCTCCAGACCCTTAAACCCAGCAGTCTTTGAGGCTGTCCTGGAGCTCCCAATGATGGACTCCACTCTGAAGGCTCCATGTTGCTCTGTCAGGATAGCAGCCTCTGCACCTTTTTCTTATTTACCTGAAGCTTCAGGAGTCACTAGTGATCCACTAATTCCATGTGGCCATATGGGGCAGGAAAATAGTAGACATCTGAAGTAAAACAGATGATTTTTTTTCTTACCTAAAACTCTCTTTCCTTTCCTTAAGCTCAACTATCTACCTAGGAGCTGGTATTACCCTAGTCCTCCAGTTTTCAAAATGTCTGCTGCCTGCCAAGGATTAAGATTTTGTTCCTGACTTGAGCTCATTGAATCAAACATTAACTGAGGGGCTTCTTAGCACCCTAAGCTTCTGACTAGCCCCTTATCCCTGTGTCTGCTCAATGTCAGGTACATCTGATAGGCACATGACAGTGAAAGTTTATCTCTCAACCTGTGCTTCTCTATTAAAATTTGTCATTAATAATGCTAGTTAGTTCTTTCTTTTCTAATTTCCTTTGGCTTTGGGATTAAATGACTAATTTCTTTTTATATGCAATATTAAACTTGCTAAAAGTCTAGAAGAGCAATTAATAATTTTTTCAACACATCAAAAGATGTTTGAAAACATCTTTTGGAATGAATTTTTTATAGAAATTACAAACTCTTAAATACACCAAACATTCTAAAACCATGATAGTCAGACTTGCCAATAGCAGATTTAAGAAAAAAAAATGAATTGGATTATTTCTTTATAGCTGCCAAGAGCTTAGCTCATTCATTTGGGTTTTTTTTTTTAATGCTTTTTCAATGACAAAGAAATCTTTGAAACACAAAATACACTTTCAAAATTCACTGCAAGCATTTGAAATAAACAAATGACTTGGTTTATTTGATCTGGCACTATGAAAATTATCATAAAACAAATGGTAATTTGACCTATAAAAGTTGGGTTCAGGGCTTAGAATTTAGTATTGATGCAACTGTAAAAAACTCCACCATTACTCTTACAAGTTGCAAAACAGAAGGGCTTTTGCTGACTCTAAGAGTAAGTTTCCTGCTCTGCAGACCTTTGTCATATCAAACACTTTTTTAAACATTTTATTCATTTATGATAGTTACACAAAGGGATTCATTGTGACATTTCCATATATGCATGTAATGTTCCCCAGTTTGAATCTCTCCCTCCATGGATCTCCTTCTTCTCCCTTTCTTAAAATAACTTCAACAGGTTTCAGTACCCCATATTCATCATGCATCTCAGCCATATTCACTCTCCTTTACCCTCTTCATTTACCTCCTTCCCCCAACTAGGGCCCTCCCCTTAGCTTGATCTGTTTCACATTCCTGTCCTTCATTAAGTGTCTGTTCATTGTTCAGTGAGGATTTTGCTTTAGTATTTTACCTGTGAAAATACTGTGCTTAAATCAGTCTAACCCCCTCCACTACTATTCCTCATCCTTTCCCCCATCCTATGCTGTTCAGAAGTTTTCAGTGCATTTCATTGTGTCTTGTTCCTACCCAGATGTGGTGTGTTTCACACTCTTTATCGTTCTTTACTTCTTTTTCTCCTTCCTTAGTCTCCTCGGACAGCATGATTTTTGGACACATGCTTTGTATTTATTTATTGTATATATGATAATGCTTTTATTTGTATTGGATCTTTCACATATGAGTGAAAATGTGTGACTTTTGTCTTTCTGAATCTGGATAACTTCATTGAAGATGATGTTCTCCAGTTCCACCCATTTACCTGTGAACAACAAAACTCACTTTTTTCTGATGGCTGAATAAAATTCCATTGTGTATAAATACCACATTTTTCTTAATCCATTCATCAGTTTTAGGGCATCTGGGCCATTTCCGTAGCTTAGCTATTGTGAATAATGCTTCAGTAAACATGGATGTGCAAATGTCTTTATTGTATCCTGGATTACATTCCTGGTTTACATTCAGATAGTTGCCTAGGAGTGGCATAGCTACATCATATGGTAGTTTTATTTTTAGTGTTTTGAGGAATCGCCATACTGTTTTCCACAGTGGTTGTACTAATTTACATTCCCACCAACAGTGTATGAGAGCTTCTTCCCACACATTTATATAAGCATTTGTTGTTTGTGTTCTTGATGATAGCCATTCTAAGAGGAATGAGGTGAAATCTTAATGGTTTTTTAAAATTTTTTATTTTTTTATTGTTGTGCTGGATGTTGGCACATTGTAGCATTTACAAAGTTTCTTAACAAGGTGTCAAAAATATTGCCGCAGTCCAGCTGCAGCAACGGCTCCAGCTCTGGCCTTGGGTGCTCAAGTGGCGAATAACAACATGAACTCGGGGCTATGCTGGGCAGCAATGGTGTAGTTTATTTTCTGAAGAGAGTATTTAAGAAGTGCAGACAAGCAGGAAGGAGTCCGTGGCAGTCCCCAAGTTTCCCTTGACCTCTGTACTGGGATTGGCTATCATGTTGCTATGGCTACAAGCCCAAGTGTGGAACATCATGTTCTTGGGACCAGGTTTTCCCAGTCCCATGCAAAGACGGAACAGTGGAGTTCAGCAACTATCCTTTTGGACTGTTGCAATCTCTCTTAGGGCTGTTGCACAAAAGCTACAGTGACTCTGCTCCTTTCCAAGAGGCTTTGGGGGTCCTGAGGGTTACCCACATCTCCCTCTTTTTTATTTTTTATGAAAAAGGCATTTAGAAATTTTTCTTTTTTGTGACAGTTAGTTTCTTGAGTGATTAGTCTTTTTAGCCATATAATACTAAGTAGACCCAAAAGCATGAGTCCACCTATACCTATTAGTCCAAAATTAAACCAATGACTAGAATTGAGTTTGTCTAGCTGAAGTCTCTTCATGGGTCCCATCAATGGCTGTGACTGGTTTGATGCATTGGAAAGGCAGCCATCTTGTTCGTTGTTCATGTTCTGGAAAGACACAAGAATACCCTCGGCCTGTAGTTAGTAAAGGGTCAGGTCCCTGACATGTGTTTGTCTCTAAATTTTGCCAAAGAACATGCACAGGTGGGCAGGTGTTCCATGCAGGGAAGTGCTTTTCCATAGGTGTAATGCCTTGATCGTCAAGTGAGAAAAAATTTAAAGTTAATAGGATGAGATGTAATTGGGTATGTGGAGACTTGGGGGTGAACTCTCCCTTTTTTATTTTAAAAAGTTGGTTTTTGATCTTTTGATGTTGTTGTTCTATAATGGCTTGGCCTTGAGGATTGTAAGGAATTCCAGTATTGTGAGTAATGTCCCTTAAATTACAGAATTCTTGAAATTTTTTACTTGTATAGGAAGGATTGTTGTCTGTCTTTGTGGACTTTGGAATTCCAAAGGTTGCAAAAGCACCAAGTAGGTGACCAAGGGCATCTTTGGTAGTTTCCCCTGTGTGGACTGAGGCAACGAGGACACCAGAGTATGTGTCCACTGTCACATGAACATATTTTAAGGTGCCAAACTGTGGAATATGAGTGACATCAGTTTGCCAGATATGGTTTGCTTTTAGACCACAAGGGTTGATGCCAGTATTAGGGCCCAAGGTAGAAAAGTACTGCAGGTGGAGCAGGCCCTAATAATATATTTGTATTGATCTCAAATCAAGATTGGGAATTGTTTGTGTAACATGTTAGCACTCTGTTGTAATAAAGAGTGGCTTTGTAAGCCCTGTTGGAAAATGGAAGAAGGATTTTGAGAGTTCTCAACAGCAGTGACAGAAATGAGCTGATCTACTGCTTGATTTCCCTTGGCCATAGGGCCAGGCAAGGCCTGTATGTGAATGGATATGAGTAATAAAGAATGGAGAAGTATGAGTATGAATGGCCATTTGAGCCTGCGTGAATAAGTGAAAAATGGTAGAATGAGGATCTCCTTTTAGTCCAGCTGTTTCAATAGAGTTAATGGCTTTAACTACAGATTGGGAGTCTGAAACTATATTGACTGGACCAAGGAGAGCCCTCGGGGCTACAAGAACTGCTAAGATTTTGGCATGTTGTGCAGTCGCTCCTGGAGTTGCAATGTTTACTTGTTCTGTACATGTCCCCAAATGGGAGTAAATGATATAACCGGCTCTCCCTTTACTGGTGCCATCAGTATATACTGTAATTATATTGGGTAG